AGATTGCGTCGTGCTGGTCACCGTGCTGCTGGCACGGGCCACCGCACTGGTGGCAGTAGCCGTAGTAGACAGCGTCGTAGTATCCATGCTAAAGCAGTGGCCTTGGTCACCGTGTTGGTAGATGGCGTCGTACTGGTCACCGTGCCCGTGGCAGTCGTGGCCGACTGCGTCGTACTGTTCAATTGAACAGCAGAAGCCGCACAGACAATGCATGCGGAAGATCAGAGCCTGCAACCCGGAATCGAGCTTGCGGCAGCAGAACCCATCCCACTCGGTAGGCGGTGACATCAAAGGGAGCATGACGGAATGGATACGACGAATGGCCAGCTCGAAATAACCAACCAGTGCAATACGCAATGCCAACGATGACGATTGCGAATGCGATGAGCTCAGTCGCACGGCAAACGAAGCTCGAGATAGAGGCCACCGGGGACCAGCTATGGCGCTACAGAAACAGGAGAATGTAGCTGGGGTCGGGAAGCGGCTAAGACCAGGGCACTTTGGGAAAAGACACCCTGGTCAATAGCCTCGAGCCGCGACGCCTCTACACCCCAACCCCTAATCCCTAAACCTCAATCCGGAGGGTTTAGGGTTTAGGGTTTACAGTAAATCCCTTAAAGTTGGAAACCGGAGGAAGGCCAAATAGTGCTGGGATTCCCTGTGCATGACTCTTAAGGATTGAGGCTATGGGGTTTCCAACTTTTCGGCTTTTACTGTAGGGTATGAGACCCTATCCCTCAGATAACTCCGAGACCTTTCCAAGCTGATCAGCACCCATGTTTTCGAGCCTAAACCCCACAGCCTGAACAAGAACTTGAAGCCCTTGGGGTTGAGGTCTAAGGATTGAATCGGGGTTTCAAAACGGGTACGGGTTTGTAGTTCAGAGCTTAGGGGTTCAGGGAACCTCCAAAAAGGTTTGGGGGTTGAGGTTTAAGGGATAATTTAGGGGTAGGCTTCGGGGTTTGGGTTCAGGGTTCAAGGTTCGGGGACCCTCAATTATCGCTCATAGGGATAGTCCGGGATAGTTGATTCAGGGGGGAGCAGCTACCTGCAACGAGACTCTGAACGTCGCAGCCCCACGACTGCCATAGAACCTTGAGCTCCAAAATCTAGGCTCAAAGGGGAAAAGGAGGGACCTTTAATGGGGACCCCGATCCTAGAATGGGCTATATAATGGGTAGATTATAGCTATATTAAGGGTATATACCTGGGGGTCCTTATTACGGGTCCCTCCTTTTACCCTTGGATAGGCGCTTAAACGTTGCCAGGACACCGTCAAAGGCCTGTCCGGCCCTCTGGTGCCCGTAGCGGGTCCTGCTCCAGCGGACGAGGCGAGATGCAGGGTAGATGGTGTAGGGTTTAGGGTTTTGAGGTTTAGATCTAAAGCCTGGCGGTTTGTGGTTCGGGTTTTGGCAGTTACACCTGTCTTTGTCGTTAGTCAGGCATCTGCATGCCAGTCCTGCCCCCCGAAGATTTTTGGACCGAAGTTAATGCTTCTGCACCAACGTTCGCTTTAAGGCTTTAAGCACCAAACCCGATCGCTTGATGAAGTTGGTACGAGACGATTATGAGTCCTCGGGTTTCATTTCATAGGATTTCTTTCCAGGGATTCTGTCAGGGTGTATACAGGTGCGGCTCACCGTTTGGGGTTCAGGGTCTAGGATCAGCTTATTCGGAGTCATAAATTCTGTCAGCCCTATGAGTCCTCAAAAAATTTTGGTGGCTCCCTGCAACCCACAACAACAAATCCTAAACCGTACGGCCTAGCTTTTTGGCTAAGGGCAAGTAACTTCGGTTCACTAAGCCCTACGCCCTAAACCAGAAACTCCTTGTCCTAAACCCTAAATCCTAAACCGTTTCAAACCGAAGCCTGAACCCTAACCCCTAAACCCCTAAGCCCTAAACCCCTAACTCCTAAACCCTTAAGCCCAACACCGTAAACCCTGAGCCCTAAAAGTCTAAAACCTGAATGGTAGCACCAGTTGCTCGCCCAAACGGGCTTTCGACAAGCACTCTGCAGTTCGAACAGGATCCCTAAAAAAAAGGTCTAAAAAGGATCCCTTAAAAAAAAAGTTTAAAAAGGATCCCTTAAAAAAAGTCTAAAGCCGAAGCCTCAACCCTGAGGCAGCCTGCCGGAAGCTTTGCCGAGTGCGCTCCAGCTGTGCCTACTACACGTGGGAGCAGGCGCAAGGGGGGTTTAGGGCTTTAGGGCTTTAGGATTTAGGGCTTTACGGTTTAGGGGTTAGGGGTTTTGGGGGTTTAGGGGTTAGGGTTTGGTTAGAGTTTGGGGGTTTAAAGGTTTAGGGGCTTAGGGGCTTAGGAGCTTAGGGGTTCGGGGGTTTAGGGGTTAGGGGTTTAGAGGTCTAGGGGTTTAGGGGTTTAGGGGTTTTGGGTTTAAACCCTCAACATGGGTAGTTCTGTAAATTAGGGTCCCTTCTAGGGGCCCTTATACGGGCTTAAACTCAAAACCCTCAACCCACAAACAAAGACGTCAAGCCCTATAACCCTAAGTCGCAAGCCTTAAAGCATATGCCCTTGACATGGAAGCAGGCACATGGGTTTAAGGCTTTGCGCGGCTTTCCCCCGGGGTCTTATATGGGTTTGCGAATGTTTGGGAGCTTGGAGAGTTTTTTCATGGGCTTTGAAGTGATCTTGTGCGGTTTTTGAGGGTTGTGAATTTTATGCGGTTTCTTTTGAGGAATATCAGCAGGGTTTGGGCTATACCGGGGAGTTTTGACGCCACGCCGGCCGCCTCGGCTTGCCGGAGACCAGCACTGTGACAGAACTCATCCTTGCTTCTGAAATGTGAAAGAGCAGAGCGGATGCAGAAGTGGGGGACAGAGGGCGGCAGGGGGCGGCGGGGGGCGGGCCGGGGCGGGGGGAAGCGGGAGGGGGGGGGGGGGGGGGGGCAGCAAAAAAACCAAAACATCAGATGAAAAGAAAAGCAGGTAAACTGTGGGGGCGGGCGGAGGGGAACTCACAGCACCCGGTAGGAAGTGGGAAATGAACCCCAAAAACGAGTGCGTCCAAAATGGTAGGACGGCAGGGAGGAGGGTTAGGTGGAGGGTACCTGAGTAAACCCCCCAGACCCCTCACCTTGTGGCCTCGGTAGATTTCTCATGTGATACCTTAAGGACCCTCAGCTATGGGAATCATAGTATACTCCTTATTATGGGTAATGCAGGATTTCTATCACCAGCCCTAGTAAACCCCTAAACCCTGTAGAGACCCTATAGATCCCTTTAAAGGAAACCCTTTAAAGGAAACACACGGATTTATATCATCAACCGTATACAGCCAAGCATGTTTTTTTGAAGTTTTAGGCAGCCGCATGTGGCTCGGTGGCCTGACAGGCCCGAAACCCTAAACCCTAAACACCGAAATGGGATCCAGGTGAAGAGGATGTTAAGGGGCTCTGCTGGGTGCTCCTTTGAGGCTTCTGTAAGGCGTCTATAATGGTGTCTTCAGGTATTTTGGGCGGGTTTTAGGGCTATTGATTGACGATCGGTCTAGGCCTGAAACCCTAATATAGGGGCCTAAATAATTACCAATAGTGTTTGGGTGGTTCCTTATTATGTTTATAGCATAATGGGTTTCAAAACCCTTATTCTTGTTATTAAGGCCCCCATATTACGTACCACCCTAAAGCCGAAAACCCGTACCAGACCCCATTCCCTGAAGACTCTACTCCTAAAGCCGTAAGGCCCAAATCTGCAACCTACAGCTGCAAAACCCAAAGCAGCCCCAGGTAGCCCAATGAGAAACATGTGGGTTGTCGTCGGGTATACGCCCAGCCACTACGTCGCTATTAGTCGCTAGGCCTTAACTTTCAATGCTGGTTTTCATATGGTGTGTTACGAGGCAGGTCCTTAGAAGTCTAGCAAATCATTCCCTGTCGTGCAGGGCAACTGCTCACAAGTCGTCAAGCGTGCGGATGGCGATTGGCTTCAGGTGGGGCTCATCCAAACGGTGGGCGGAATTTAGATGGCATTCAGGATTCCTTAGACAACAACCTTTATCTGGGATTCCCCTAAACCCTAAGCCCTTGTCCTGCGAAGGTTTTTGGTCCCTTTGCCGCCGTTGTTGGGCTAGTGCAGACTATTCGTCCAGTTCCAATGATTCAGAAGCCTGAATAATGGCTGAGAAATACTGGCTCCGACGGTCCTCATCATACCTGCACGATACTACACCTCCAATCCCTGTGCAAACGTTTATGGCCACCAATGGTACCATGAGTGCCCTCAGTTGTAATCGGCTCTTCTCATTCATTATACCGGGTGCAATACCAAGAGTAGTTCTCTCTGCAGAGTCTGGAAAGTCTTAGTCCGGCCCCTTTGCTTCTAGCCCCTTGCTGGCTACAACAAGGAGTGTGTGAAGAGGACATTTGCCAATCCGGTTCTCTCACAGCAATCGTGGCTGACTTTACAGTGGTTTGATTGCAGATCCTTCTTGACGCAGCTAACGCTGTCCTCACTCCGGTGCCCTCTTCCGTGCGCGTCATCTTGTTTTGTCTGCTAAGCCTTAGTATCTGAGTGGATACACTTTACACCTTTTGGGATAACATTACCCACCATAAAACTAGAAGTGCAAACTTTGGGGGGATTTTGTGACGTCAGCACTAAGAGGGGCTTCCTGGGCTTCCTGGGCCCCTCATGTTTGAAGCTCTGCCTCACAGGCCACGGCGAAGATCTGGAACTGCTCCAACACGGACACTTGCCGAGAGGCCTTCTGACCCTAAACCCATCTGCTTGAGCTTTGGTGTTTAGTCGATATCCGGTGATGTCGGAATTTGATTAAGAAACCTTGGGACCTTTATTAGGGTTCCTTAGATGAATCCTACTACTTTGGGGTGATATATAGGCCCAGGGTTTCTTAATCAGGTTCCTACATTAGGTGGTGTCATCGTCTTCTGCCGGATGCTCTAGCTTCATGTCCCGCAGACCAGCATGCCAGCGCTTTCTGAGGTATTTACAAAGTTCCATATGTAGGATGCTTGAGCCATGGTGCGCTGGGTGGGCTTTCATCTGATCGCCCTTGCGGCCGGGCTCCGGTCAAAGAGCGACCCGTCCTGGCCCTGGGAGGAGCACCGTGCGAGCTCTGCCGAAGAGGTTCAGGAACTCCTGAGCGCAGTGCTAGCGCAGAGCAACACAGCTGAGGTCACAGTGGAAGAGCCCGGAGATGTAGAGGCACAGGAGAAGACGCTTCGAGAGCGGATTGCCCGCATCAGGAAGGACTGGCAGAGTGCCAGCGCAACCGCTTGCCATCAACAGCTTGGGCGGTTGATAAATAACCTCACGCTTGCGTGCAACGGCTTGCAACCGAAAGCCGACTGGCTTCTCGACTACTACATGCCGGCCCTTCCGAACAAGACTTGTGCCGACAGCGTCAGCGACATCTTCGCGTTAGGAAACGAATTGGTGGAAACCCTTCGCGTCTCCAGAGGTGCTGTAGCTTCCGCGGATGTGGCAGGCGAAGATCTTCGTCGATATCAGGCACTCTCCTTTCTGCGGAGCTGGCTGGTGGACCTGACCCGGACTCATCATCGTGCGCTGCTTTGGGCTGGCTTCTGGGACGGGGACCCCGAGAACCGCACGACGCAGACAGCGCTCTCCAACTTTGCCAAAAGAATAGAGCACGCGACCGTGCACCCGTACACCTTCTTGGGCCAAGCCATCGAGGCGAGCGAGAACCTCGACGCCTGCTACGAGGATGCCCAGACCAATGCGCTCGCAGTGAACATGTGGTCCATCGCAAGCATGAGCTTCGTGCTCGGGATGCGCGAAAGGGCACAGGGAACGGTCATTGCACTGGTCAACAAGCAGATCGCGGGCGAGCGTAACTTGTCGCAGTCCGTGCTGTCCACGCATGAAATCCCAACAGTGGGGCTCGCAGCCTGGGGCCTCGGGTTCTGGTCTCCAAAAGTGCTGGTCGTGGACCTCATGGGCACCTGTGACCAGACGAGCCCGGCGCTGCAGAAGCGCCTCCTCGCCCGCCTTCCCTCCTGGGCCAAATCGGCCAATTCAATCATGCACTGGTACTGGAGCCCAGAATTCTTCACGGCGAGGTCGCGGCTCCAGTGGCAGTGCATCGACTGCTCGGGGGCTTGCAGCCTGGACGAGGCTTTCGCAGAGCACGTGGAGAAGATGGTCAAGGCCGGCCCACCCCTACAGACCCCGTATCTATGAGCTCGTCTCGCCTTAAGTTGGAATCAGAACTTTGCAACGAGAGTCCCTAAACCCTAAACCCTAAACCTCCCGCACCGCCGGAGGCCAAGGAGCAGCAGGACCGGAAAGACCAAGAGCTCCTCCAGGTGCGGAGTTTGCAGGGGGTGCCCCTTGGCTATAGTCGCTTCGCTCCCTTCGCTCCCTGCCAGGTCGTGAGTCCACAGCTCGCAAAAGAAGCCGCGGCTGGGTTCAGTGGAGAGGAGGTGCGCATCGCGAACACGATATATTCACATGTCTCAGATTTCAAACTCGACCTGCCGGCGAAGGAGAAGCTGTCCGAACACAGGGACCAACTGTACAGGGACCAATTTCGCATGAACCACGAGCTCGGGCGCTGGAAGGCGAAAATACCTGCCAGCCAGCATCTTCGGGTGGAGCAACTTCTTCGTGGCAATGCGGATCCGAGCTCTCTGGACCGGCTCGGCCGCACAGCCCTCATGGAAGCTGCCTTCAGTGGCCACCTGAAGGTGGTCGAGGTCTTGCTGAAGGCAGGAGCCCAGGTGAAGGCCCGCAGTGATCAAGCCGAAACGGCCTACACAGTCGCAGCAACGCAGGGCCACCTGAACGTGGTCGAGACGTTGGTGCGGGCCGGAGCGTCGAGGTACTGGTGAGTCTGGTGAGGGCCGGAGCTGAGCTGGAGGCCCGCGATTAGTCTGAACTAGGCGAAACAGCCCTCACTTGGGCTGTCGATGGAGGGCAGCTGTGGGTGGTCGAGGCCGTGCTGAAGGCAGGAGCCCATGCAGAGGCCTTCGATAAGAAGCTCGCACAAGAGAAAGGGCACCTGCAGCTTGCGGACATCCTGTGTAAAACGACCGAGAGCATCAAACTTTGTTCGTCTGAATGTTGGTTAATACTATTTCCTGACAGTTCCCTAGTATACAGGGTACAGTTTGCGCCGAAACGCTCTTCTACTACGATGTTTGGGTTCTTCCGACAGCTCCAAGGACCATTCCGCTTCCCCTAATGGAAACCCTCACCGAACCCTCAGTGGATTCCTGAAACCCTAAGCGGTGCTTGGGGACGCGCCGCGCGGAGGGCCTATATAATTACCACTACTATTTTGGGGTTTCCTCATGAGAATTCTACAAGAACGTATGCCCCCAAACCCCATTGCTCTATTCTAATTATTAAGGCCGCTAGATTATAGTACCCTGGGAGATCCCTTATAGTAGCCCTTATATACCCCTTTGCAGGAGCTCTATTCAAATTAGTAAGGGATTGCACAGGGAGGCCTCAGGGGTTCTTTGGAAGGATGGTGGGAGTCCTGAACGGTGTGGGTCTTGCTTGCTTAGGGTTTAGGGTTTAGGGTTTAGGGTTTAGGGTATTGGTGTAACATCAGGAGCGTTTTGTTTGGGGTCTGGGTAAGGCACCGGTATTCACCAAAAATGTGCGCAGGATCCGGGATCTTTCAGCCCTCTAAGAAGGGGGAACGCCCTTCCTAGAATACTCACAGAACCTTCAAGGACCAGGGGGGCACATTGAGGCTCCAATAGATTGGCCTTAATAATTAGTCTAGGGTTTTGGGGTATATTCTACTACTACTAGGCTCATAATAAGGAACCCCCCAAAATATATAGAGGTAATTATTTACGCCCCTATCGTAGGGTTTCGGGCTCAGGCTGGGGTTAGGGTTTAAACTTTGCGAGCTGACACCTGCGACATAGGAATGGAACCGGAAGCCACCAACGCCACCAATCTAGGTTGAGGTTGAAGGACTTAGGCTTGAGGTTCAACTTGTTCCTTTCTTGGGGTTTGTTTCTTCTTGAACGGAATCTCCTAAATTCTGTTGGATTTCCCGGAACCCAGGAGCCTCCAAATCTGCAAATCCCGATTCCCCAAATCCGACAATCCTGAGTGCCTACACGCCCTTGAGGCCCTAAGCCATAAGGCCCTTCAACCCCAGACTCCATGAGGTCCTAAACCTTAAAGTCGTATCGGCCCAAGACCCCCTTTGAAATCCCCAAACCTCACAACCCGAAACCTTGAACCCGAAGCCCTAAGCCTTAACCTCCGCAGAACCAGCACCCCTAAACCCTAACCCCTAAACTCTGAACCCTGAACCCTGAACCCCTGATTCCTAAGACTTAGGCGGACGGAAAAAGGTGCTCAACAAAAAAAGAACCCTGAACCCCTGAACCCCTGAACCCCTGAACCCTCAACCCTAAAACCTCCGAGCCGAAACTAACCCCTGAAAGATCAATCTTCAGCTCGAGCGAGGTGCGATCCCAAACCTGGTACCACAATGGCATCTACTGCCCAGTGCCCCGTCACAGACCGGTTCAGGGTTGAAGTGGGTGTATGGGCTTAAGTGGGCTTTAGGGGTTTAGAAGTTTCAGTGTTCATCTAGGGCCGTAGGGTTGTAGGTATTGGGTCTTGAGCCATTGATTTGGGTGTCGGAGGTTCCGAAGTGTTCGAACCGAGCTGTTGGGTCTCTCAAACCGAAACCCCATGATTCCCTCAACTATACAATGGGTGGGGTTTAGGGCTTAGGGTGAGTGTTCCCTGAACTATTCCATGGGTTTGGGCGTGGTGATTGTAGTCGTTTGAGCACATAGTATGATAGATATACAGTAAACTTGTTGGTTAAGGGGGTTGTGGGCTCCGTAAACCGGGTAGACCTGGAGATCTTTGACTAAGCCCTAGGGATTGTGGACAGGCATAAATGCCGAACCATTACAGAAGAAGCTTGAACGTCCATACCCTACGAAAATGTCGAACCTCCAAGAATCCGTAAACCCGACCTTAAACCCTCAACCCCAAGCCATGCACCTGCAACCCTAAACTCTAAGCTGCAAGTAACATGCACGAACCTCGCAAATAACCTTGGGCGCTAAGGTCGGCACGGATACCTTGCGAAACAGCTGCTGGGTTTGCATTGGCAGGTTCAGAGAGCAAGGCTTTCAGGGTCTATAGGGCTTCGGGGGTTTATAGGGTTTAGGGTATAGGGTATATGGGTTACAGGGTTCAGGCTTTAGGGTGTAGGATTTAGTGGCTAGGGTCTTGGTTTTTGTGGTTTAATGTAGGGGCCTTAATAATTACCTATACTACTTTGGGTGCTCCTTATTAACATTTTTGTGTAGTGGGCCCCATGACCCTATTCTAATTGCTAAGGCCCCTGCGTTAAACCCTTATAGTAACCCTTAACGGAACCCTTAAAGTATCCCATAAAGGAGCCCGGATGATACCCTTTACAGGGAACCCTACACCAATTTGTAAGGCCCCGACATTAAGGTTTTTCAAGCCCCCCTAAACCCTAAACCCTCTCTTTCAAATGGATATTTAAACCCTGAGGCCTATTTTCGAACGGGGACCCCCCCATTCTCAACCTGATTTTCGAATGGCCGGTGCTATGGCCGGTTGTCGAACAGACCCATCAATGTTGAGCTATGTTTTCGAACAAGGGTGACCAATGCTATGACATGTTTTCGAATGGCCGGCCCAATGCTATAGCATGTTTTCGAATGGCCGGACCAATGCTATGGCAGGTTTTCGAATGGCCGGGGCTGGCCGGACCAATGCTATGGCTGGTTTTCGAATGAAGGGACCAATGCTATGGCTGGTTTTCGAACGGAGACCGATGCCTTGGCCGGTTTTCGAATGGGCTGGCTGGGCCGCGGGCTGGGACCAATGCTATGGCCGGTTTTCGAATGGGCTGGCTGGGCCGCGGGTTGGGACGAATGCTATGGCCGGTTTTCGCCCTAAACCCTAACAGGAGATGGTTTGGGTGGTTTCCTGTGGTATCATTCTAGCGGGAGGGTTGAACTTCCGGCTTCACCGAGTTCTCTGACGCATGCAAGGAAGGTCGCTTGACGCGCAGTATGCCGCCACCCACAAACCCTGGTGTGAGGTGGCGCCATCCTAGAGCATAGATTACCAGCCACTGCGCAAGAGGACACCCTAAACCCTAAACCCTAAACCCTGAACCCTAAACCCTAAACCCTAAACCCTAAACCCTAAACCCTGAACCCTAAACCCTAAACCCTAAACCCTAAACCCTGAACCCTAAACCCTAAACCCTAAACCCTGAACCCTAAACCCTAGAAACCCAAAGCCCGGAAGCTGGAGGTTATGCGTCCGAACCCTGTGCCCTAAGCCCGATCTCCCCCGCCCTGAAACTGGTTTAAAAGGGTTTAGGGTTTTAGGGTTTAGGGTTTTAGGGTTTTAGGGTTTAGGGGTTTAGGGTTTAGGGTTTTAGGGTTTTAGGGTTTTAGGGTTTACGGGTTTAGGGTTTAGGGTCTAGGGTTTAGTAAGGGGGTTCTTGTTCAGGAGTTTAGTTTAAGCTAGCATCATCAGGAAACCATATTATTTCCTATAGATCCCTACCTTGGTAACTTAAAATCCCTGACAAGAACCCAGGGAAGCCAGGAAAGGAATCAGAGATACAATTTGTTACCTCGACTATAATACATACACTCTGAGATCCCATCGGGAATCGTTAGCGGCGTCACACTCCTCATATCTACCCAAGGAAGACGCCGAAGCCTCTGCCATGAATCCCAGTTTGACTGAAGTGCCGCAAAATTCCCGTAGGTATATTTTTCATGCACCCATATCAAGCCTTGGCGCTTCGATTTCAGGTGTCATCTACTACAAAGCCAGTGCCGGAACATTGGCGGAGGATCAGCTGGTGCTGTATCACCATCGAGATGCCGCGGCCTGGTTTCTGCAGTTTTACGTCCGATGAGGTTTCTAACTTGGGGATATCGGCTTCAAAAAGTCTGAGGGGTTTTGGCTGTTCGGCCAAGACCCTAAGCTTTGGCAGTTTTGAAACTGTGAAAGCCACCCAACCCTGAACCCCAACCCGTTAAACCCTGAACCTTTACGCCCTAAGCCCTAAACCTGAAACGCCATGCAGTTCTCGAATTTTGAGCCCCCATGCCAGCTATTTGGTTACTAATACTCTGCTTTGACATCAAGCACAACGTAAAAACATCTAGGCAGTTTTTTCACTCACCTCGGACCCTGTTGGAGCTTGAAGGTTAGACTTCGGGGAGCCAGACTGATGACGCAGTGTTAACCAGTTCTTCAACACATTTTGCCAAGCTTACAGTAGTATGTTTATTAATGAGTTATGTGGTATATTGGTCTTGCCTGTTGTAGAGTTTCACGCGAGGTATGTTGAGGTTCATATTCCTTCATTGAACCCTACATCTTAAACTACCCTTACAAACCCCCCTAAACCCTACTTGCAGGCCCTTTTGACTTAGTAAGTAGGGTAAGTAAGGTGGGTTATGGGGTTTGTAATAGGGTTTCCAGGGGATACTAAGTAGACTTACTAAGTCGAAAGGGCCTCCAAGTACACCCTAGGCCCTAAACCCCAATGTAAGCTCGGCGCTATGAGCAGAGGGTAGCTGAGGTGGATGGTGCGGTGGCAGGCTGTGCTGATGGCAGCTGGGTAAGCTCCACAGCACGGGGGGGGCCTTAGTTATTAGAGTAGGGTTCCCTTAAAGGGTCTATAAGGGCTACTGATCTATATGGGTTTAGTATAGGGGCCTGAATAATTGGGGGGAGACAGGGGGACTTTGTGGTGTTAGGGTTTCGGGTTTAGACTTTGGGGTATTGGGATTTTCATGAGGGTTTATGCAGCAACTTGCGCTGTCTCAGGTGTCAGCGGGTCTTATGAAGTTTGTGGAGACTTATCTAGGGTGTAGGTTCATGGCTTCGATTGTGCTGTTTCTTTTGGCTGTCAAGGAGACTTCTGCAACAGTCTCGAGCCATTGTTTCAACAGTTCCGAAACGCACCGGAAACGTAGCATTGCATCTGGCACGTCATTTATGCTTACTGGGAAATCGTATTGTGAGTCCCCGAGGCGTCTGAACACTGAGGCAAGGGCTTCAGGACTGTTGGGTATGATTGAGCTCTACACCCAAACCCTGAACCCTAGATCTAAACACTGAGCCACCGCACTTCAGGACTGTTTCGTAAGACTGAACCCTACGCCCCGCTGCTCTGAAGCACAAATATCAACACTCAGCCACTGCACTTCAGTTGAAGTTGAGTAAGGCTGAGCTCAAGACCCACCTCAGCACTGAACCGCTACACCTCGGGACTCTTGATTAAGACTCTTCAAGGGCTATCATGGCTTGCGAAAGAAGTCTTGGTGGGGACTTTTTCCATTTTTGCAGGCTCTTTGATAGTCTGACATCATTCATCCACGGTTAAACTTACCCTTAGCGCATGTCTAAGCGGTAAGCTCCCCAAAGCCCAAGTAAAACTCCCTGAAGTCCCCTCCCAAAGCCGCGGAACGTTCTAGAGTCAATGCCCAATGCCTCTTAACGGAAGCTCTCAACCTCAAGGCCATATTTCTGTTAAGGAAGCCTAGAACCCAGAGACTCCAATATTCCTGAATGCGTACACCTCAAATTATAGTAGGATCCCTAGTATGATTTAAGGCATATTCCTTGATCAAGGGATATTGGAGCCTCTGGGAAGGATATCGTGACATGGAGCAATAGAAGTGTAGCCTGCCGGTACTGTAATCAGGGAATGCATATGAATCTGCGGAGTGCTTGAACAGATTTTTTTTTACTAAGGGGCTGAGGGGGAAGTATGAGTCATGGCCATCAAGCACTATGCCTGCTGAGAAAACCCTAGAGTTACAAAGTAAGGTGTTGGTAAGGAAACCAAACCCTGACCACTAAAGTTTAAACCCCCGAAGCCCCAAGCCCTAAACATCCCTAAACACTAAACCTTAGACCTTAAACCCGAAAGCATCAACCTGTGGCGTGAACCCTGGACACTGCCTAGACCCCTAGCCCAATACCCTTAAGAGTGTTGATGGGTGTTCTTGGGCTTTAGCCGGGTTTCAAGAGGGTTGTCATGGTTTGACTGTAGTTGGTGCTTCCAAGGAGCTACTAGCCACCACCTCTTCACCCAGACCGAAATTGCTGACTGCTAGGTACTAATGCAAAACCTTGGAAAACCCCTTCTACACATACTTTAAACTTGACTTTGGACGCAAGACTCCTTGATTGGAACCCACAACCCCCAAACCCTAACCCACTTTGGACCGTGACTGGTAACTTGTATATACCGAGGTGGTGAAGACGGCCACTTCGTCCGACTACAAGAAACCTCAATCAGGGTACCTTGACCAATCAGGCGAAAAATGTTGCCAGGGTTTGTCAGGATTCATACGGCTTCAAGGCGGGTTATGTGGTTTGCATAGTGGGCACAAGAGCGTGAAGGAACCCTAATGTAGGGGCCTTACTCATTAGGCTAGGGCTTGGGGGTACATCATACTATACATATATAATACAGAACCCCCGAAACCTTATTCCAACTATTAAAGGGGGGGCCCCATGTTCTACGGCTGATGATATAAATCCTGCATTACCTTAAGGACCCTAAACTATGGGAATTATGGTATATTCCTTATTACGGGTCATGCAGGATTTTGTCCATCAGCAGTAGTTCGAAAGGCCCCCCCACGGTCTGAGAGCCCAGAAGCCGATACCGGATTGACGGCTTCTTGGTGATGGCCTCTCGGGTTGAGGCTTTTGCTCTTGGGTTCAGGGTCTGGGGTTTTATGGTCAAGGGTTCAGGGTTTGCAGGGTTTAGGGTTTAGGGTTTTTATGGTTAAGGGTTTAGGGTTTGCAGGATACAGCTTCGACACCGCAAGTCTCTACATCCTAAGCCGATTGGTTTCGGGGCCCATCATGTAACCTCACCTCTAGAGCCTAAGTTTGAGGCCGTTCAGAGTTGATGCTCAGCTCACAAACCCTAAACCCTAAACCCTCACAAATCCCCCAGCTAACAGTTTAGGGTCCTAGGGTGTTTATAGTTGATCCTCGGCTCGAGGCCCTAAGCTTACACCCGAAACCCCAAACTTACACCCTAAACCCTAAATTTACACCCCCAAACCCTCAACTTACACCCTAAACCCGAAGCTTGCGCCCTAAACTGGCACCCTAGCCTCGTTTTACTAAGTTGGGAGCTCATTGCTTGGGTCCGAGGTACTTCGAGATGCACGGGGAGGCCGCGACTCATAGGGTCTTTGGGCTTTGGGGTTCCTGGAGAGTCCCTGTACGAGTACTGTGAGAGTACTTTAGGGGTTTCGTGGCTTCCGGGTTTGAGGCTGTTACGCGTCCGGTTGTGCGTTGACTTTTGGGGCTTACTGATTCTGGTGTTTTGTGTACTTAGATGAGGGTTTTGGGGTTTTCGGATGTACTTCGTAGCTGAGGATGTTGACATTTCAAACTTTTTGGTGTGGAGAACTGTAGGATCTCAGGATATGGGTTATAACTCCGAGGGCCCAGGGTTGAGGTTCTACATAAGTGCTATTTGTGGGGGTTACTGGGGGGATCCTTGGAAAACTGGTGAGGGGAAGCTTAGGTAGTACCAGAGGGAATTATCGACCACTGGGTCGTACACCGCCCATAGAGCCTCGAGACTACCATGAACAACTCTTAGGATTCTGAGTGCTTTGTGGTTCGGCGCGTACCCTAAACCCGAAACCCCAATCCCCGACGGCTGTGAGCTTCCGAAACCCAAGCCGCGGCGGCCAAGAGGTTATGTAAGCTGAGAGGCATGGGTCTTTTAACCTACGCGCTTACCCCCCAACCCCTCAAGCCTAAACGGTACTTGGGTTGGAGGAGCCTGAAGGAAGCATCTTCTAATCTTTAATATGCCCTGAATAAACCCCTCATAGTACAGATCCTCTGTAGAACTTTTGTACAGAACCCGACAGACCCCTATCAGAAGCCTTTGCCGAGAACCCTCTGGACACGCTGCAAAGCCCTACTACAGGAACCCTCTCAAAACCTACAGGGAACTCCAGAAAGTTGGAATATGGTTTCAGGGTAGGATACCTTATAATTTACCATAAAGGGTTTAGGATAATCATATTCCAACTTTCTGGCTTTTACTGTAGCACCCAACGAAAGTGCCTGCGTCTTGGTAGGTCTTGGCATGCCCGGACAAGGCGGAGGCAGAGAGGGAAGCCCTGCGCTCTTGATTTCAAGCCGACCTTGAAAAACAGACACAGGGGAGTTTCCGAAAATTAGGTGTACCTTATTTGGGGGTCCTTATAACAAGGATCCTTTTATTTAGGGTACTGTATTAGGGTCCCCTATTTTCGGAAACTCCCACACGGGCTGAAGCAAGTCTTACAACGGTTTGTTGTAACAGGATTCTTCCAGACATTCTAAGGGGTCATGACGCAAGTGTGAAGGGTGTTTAGGGCTGGATTTAGCACCAAGGATTTCGGTTTGGGAGGATCTGAGAGTTTTGGGAGTTAGAGTCTATAGGTGTTTAAGATTCCACGTCAGGGTTAAGGGTTTTGGGGGATACTTCGTATGGTCCCGACTATAATGATTGTATTCTGAGTGTACTCCTGAAATACGAGAATATGGAGTCTCCAGGAGAGACCCTTGCAAGCAACCCGCATAAACGTACGAAACACTGCAATACAAACACTCTTGTTCTGGCAGTCGCCTAAAGCCAAGTGGAGCTTGAGAGCTTGAGCTCTGGAGTGCACCGGCTAGGTCCGATTTGCGGCGTTGCCGTGTGGTCAGCCGCAGAACATCACGGTGGGCGGAGGGGTCTGAGCATCAGGGCTTTCTAGGATTATGTCCATATGGGAGCTTCCGAAAATTAGGGATACCTGATTTTTGGGTCCTTATAATAAGGACCCTACGATCTTGGGTACTATATTAGGATCCACTCTTTCGGAAACTCCCATATCTTGTGCTAGCTATAGTCAACCTGCAAATAGATCTCCTGGGACATCAATCTGCCAAGTGGGACAGACGTAGCCTGGGAAATTGATAAGTGAGAAAATGGACCGGTACTTGGAGAACACTAACAAGAAACAATCGTGCGAACTCTTAGAGCCACTCGAAAACAGTATTATCCAATATCAGCACATCATAGACAGCCAATGGCACTCCCATGGTCTCAGTCTCGTCTGTCCTAGGCACATACAAAAGCAATAAGAGCAAACCGCCTGAACAAGTGGGCGACAGGAAAAGAACAGGGAACATCATAGAAATATGCAAAAATCATGACTACCGAAACCAGCGGTTGAAACAAAGGAGGACTAGCCCTCCTCACTTCGATTTTTTTTACAACTTTGGATTGCAAGGCTCTGTGGGCTCAGCATTATTCGAAAAATATGGATTTCGCGCGGGTGGCCATAAGGATCGAACGAGCCCCTAAGCTGCATACCCTGAAGCCTACCTAAACCCGAATAACATACCCCTTTCAGAACTTATATAAGGAAATCATGATAAGGCACCCTAAAAAGGTAGGTTATTCTGGGTGAAGGTAAAGCCTAAGTTCCAGGAGGAGGAGGTGAAGGTGCAGAAGGTCATCCTTGACGACCCCGCGACGCCAATGGCCGCGGATTATTGGCTCCATCCCTGCGAGTGCCTTTGATTAGTTTCGAGTGCGGCGTCTTAAACCTGCTTGAGCACTGTGGCCCTATACTATAATCCCTAAACCCACAGTCTCAATTTTCCAAAAGCCCGTTAAACTCTCTCAATCGGACAACAACCCCCAAAAGTCCCATAAATCCCATATATCGCCATCAGGCCCTGTTTGACCCTTTCAGACCCTTTTCAAGCCGTTCAGAATTTCGTAAACCCTAAAACCCTAACCCCTTCACAGGATTTCCGTTAGAAAGGTGTGCTCCCTCGAGCTGGGGAGCCGATGCCCCAGTGGATCCGGTGACCTTCGCGGCCTCGCTGCAAGAACTTCGGGTGGGGGGGGCTTCTTGAAGGGGCTAAGGGGCTTTTTGGGTTGGGAGTTCAGGGTCTTTTGGGTTTAGGGTTTTGGAGTTTAGGGTGTTTTGGGTTTAGGGTCTTTTGGGTTTCGGGTTTGGGCTTTAGGGCCTTTAGGGTTTTGGGTTTAGGGTTGGAGTTTAGGGTTTCGGGGTTTGCCGTTTAAGGGTTTGCAGGGAACTCCAGAAAGTTGGAATATGGTTTCATGGTAGGATACCCTATAATTTACCATAGAAGGGTTAGGGCAATCATATTCCAACTCAGCTTTCTGGCTTTTACCTTATGGGCTTCTTGATGGTTTTTTATGGGCAAGTCTTGTCAGTTTTTAGCGCTTCTGAGCGCCATTGCAGCAGGATTTTGTAGATGGATTTTGTTAGGGTTTAGGGTTTAGGGTTTAGACGGTTTAGGGTTTAGGGTTAGGGTTTAGGGTTTAGGGTTTAGACGGTTTAGGGTTTAGGGTTAGGGTTTAGGGTTTAGGGTTTAAACGGTTTAGGGTTTAAGGTTTAGACGGTTTAGGGTTTAGGGTTTAGGGTTTAGACGGTTTAGAGTTTAGGGTTTAGGGTTTAGGGTTTAGACGGTTTAGGGTTTAGGGTCCCTGTTAGGTTGGTTGATCAGTTTCTTTTGGGGTGGGTGTCTTAAAAGGATTGCAGTGGGAGGGGGCCAGGTGTCGGGTCTAAAGCTCAGGGATTTTCAGGGGCTACCCTAAACCCTAAACCCTAAACAGTTTCTGTGGCTTATTGGGGTAGTTAGGGTTTCTGAGTCAGGGTCCCTTTTCAAGCGGAGCTGTTGGGTTCAAGGGTTTCGCGGATTGTGGCTTGAGCCTGGAGTTTTGGTGCTTGTGGTTTAGGGTCAACTTTCGGGGTCGGAAGACATGGAAACAGTATCCCCTCCATCGCCGTTACTATCACTAATGGAATCGATGATACCCCCCCCCCCCGCCCCAGAAAAAAGCACCATTCCAATTATGAGGACCCCCTATCGCCCATACCCGAATTACAGCCCCCAGCCTTAAAGCCATAGGCATATCTCTCTACACCGCCGAGGGAACCTTTTCCCACTTGTGCACTTGTTGGTGGTCACGTGTTTTCTGGCAGCCAACCTGCATAACAACTTGCGAGCCCTTCAGCGGCCTAAAGCCTAAACCTTAGATCCTAAACCGCCAAGGATTATCTCCGAGGTGCCAGAAACCTATGGATCGCTCATGCAGACCCTGGCGTAGTTCGATTTTCTGTAAAAACAATATGCGCATGCATATATATATATATATATACACATGTATATAAATATGTATATATATAAATATGTATATATATATACATATGTATGTATGTATGTATGTATATATATATATATATTGTGTATGTAAAAGTTGTATTGCTACCACTCTCTTATAGTGTAGGAAACGCTTCATGAAGCGCTCCCGATGCCTGTGAACACCAGGCCCCCCCCAAGCTTGTTTTCGTGTGTCGGGGTTTCTGAACGAGTTGCTTTGGGTTTAGGGTTTTAGGCAGTTTAGAAGCCTAAAGCCTAAAGAACTATCAATCTTACTCCTTTATATAATCCCCATATGCCCCTGTGTATTTATAGAGGTGTTCGTACGTTACCGCCCAAAAAACTCTGATTACTTAGGAGCCCTGCTCTCTAAGCCTGTTTTAGAGCCAACTCTCATGCAAGGAGATGACAGGAGATGCTGAGACGGCCACCTACGTGCCACCTCCACTCCTCCTGGTCGCAGGAAAGTCTTTCCATGCACGAACTTAGAGACATCAACATCCATTTATCGACGGACAGTCCGTAAGTCGTATGACTATGAAACTTGCAGAATGTCAGAAATTTTCAGTCAATGGGGGTTTGGAGCTTCTGCACCCTGACGAAGCCCTAACCGCGTAGTCCGGCAACTTCCAGAATTGAAACCGAATGGCCTTCAACGACGAAGACCACACAAACCCGAAACCTTTGAAACCCCCATCTACAAACTCTAGACCAAGCTCAAAGCCACGAGCTCTAAACCCTAAACCCTCAGAATCTACAGGATGTTGCGCACGGAAAAAGGAGCCTTAAAACAAACAAACATAAAAAGCCTACATCCTAGCCTTCTGCCATTACAACTTCAAACCCCAGCCTCAAGCCACGCCCTCAACAGGAGAGTTCGTCTGTCCCACTCGAAACCTACTCCCCGACCCGGGCGTCTACTTCGAGACGGAGACGGAGTCCATGGAGTACGAAGTCTGCGAGGCTCGGGGGGAGATTGAACAACAGGGCCAGGGTTCTCTAAGTGTTCTAATGTAGGAGCCTTCGTAATTAGAGTAAAGTTTGGGGGTATAGTTTACTATAACTGTAAGAAGGAGCGCCCTAAAGCCCTGTTCTGACTATGGCCCCCACATTATGGGGGTTCTGAGGCTGGAGGATTCTGCGTGCTTGGGAACCCACATCTCACACCATGAACCCAAGCGGTTCTTGTCGACGTGTCTTTTGGGGTCCTCTGGGCTTCCAGAACAAAACTACTTATCATGCCCACTCAGGTTTTCTTCTTGTTATCATGAAGCAAGGATGGTTAGTGCTGAGACCCTAAACCCTCAACCCCACACCCTTAAACCCTAAAACCCTAAACCCCTAAACCCCTAAGCCCCTACACCCTAAAGCCCTAAAGCCCAAACCTTATCTTCCAGGAGGAGCCTTTTTGCACTGAGCTTCTCTAGTTTTCTGACTTCACCTCCGCAGCTTCACTATGTAGCTGGCAACAAATCTCCCCATACCTCACGCCCCAAAACCCTGTCCCGCTTGTGAACTCGGTGAGAGTTCCCACTGGCAACGATCCCTGGGCCCTGCCAAGAACAGAAAGATTCTGATGTAAGAATCCCAAATGACCTGAAACAGAATATGCAAACCCTGTCTGCCCAACGAAATCACCAAATGACCAGGAGCGCCCTGCGTCCGATGTTTCCCGCCAGTCCCACTGATCAGCAAAGGGTCTGGGCCATGCGTCGCTCCGCGACGACCACAACCCTCCCGTCCTACCCAGAGACTCCAAAACCCCTTAATTAAGGAATATACCTTAAATCATATAAGGGATCCTATTACAATTTAAGGTATATTCCTTAATTAAGGGGTTTTGGAGTCTCTGGGTAAGGACCCTCGAGCCTGATGGCAGGCGACCTTTGATCTTCGAATGTGCACGAACATGCGCTCACCTGACGGACTGTTTTCACACCCCTAAACCCTAAACCCTAGGTGTTGTGGTTTAGGGTCTCAGGGTGTAGGGTTTCCGAACTCAGCCACTTGGGAACTCAGGGGAGCTTCGAATTATCAGACTTGTTGGGTTTAGGCTTAGGATTAAGACCTAAATCCTTGAAAAGTTTTAGTATTTGGGTCCATAAAGGTTTAGGTCTTAAGGGTTTAGGGGTTTAGGGTTTAGGTGCTAGATTTTGGAAGCTTTGGGAAGCAGCAATGCCGAGGTCTGAATCTTAGTAGGAGTATCACCGGTATAGTTCCTCTACATGCCTACACAATGAGCAATGCACCTGCAGTACCCTCTTCTTGTTGAGCCCATGTCATAGTATTTTGACTTCTCGCTGGTGCGGAGGCGAAGTGCAAGAACCATGATGACTGCAACTACTTCTGGCACGGAACGCAGTCGTCTCTCGGCCCTTTCTTCTGGTTTTTGGCATATGGAAGTGTCAAACAATTTAAGGTTTAGGGTTTAGGGCTGGGGGAACCAAAGCCTGAATAGTAGGGTCCTGCTTACAAAGACGCCTTTAATGAGATACCCAGTCAGATACCCATTACCGTAAGAAACACCTGTACAAGGGCTAACCATTGGAGGACGGGAAAGCTTCCCCGATCCTGGCCCGCTAAGCCCTCAGCAGGGGTTTGGGGTTTAGGGTTTAGGGTCAAAGACCTTAAACCTCAGGGAGTAAGACACCCTAATATAGAAGTAAGAATAGCTACATCTTTCTATAGTTCCGCCCCTACTCCATTTATTTTTGCACCAACTTGCAGCCCTTAGCCCATGAACCAGAAGATGCAGTCCGCACCCCAGTAACATCAGAACCGTTATTGGCGGCTATGGTGTACCCTGATAGCTCTTAAACTCGGGTTTAGAGTATGAGGTTTCGGGTTGAATGTCCACAATCATACAGTACTCCCCAAACTCTGTATTGCAGCCTGTTTTCGTGCCTAACCCCACGACGCTTGGGACTAGGGGGTGCCGCTTGCATTCTGACACGGCTGGCCGCTGAATTGCCTAGTAGTAGAGTAGGTAACCTTTAACCTTTTTTGGGTAGTATTGTCCCTACATAATCCCTATACAGCCAAACAGGCCAACCTTTAGTTCCCCATGATACCTGACAAGGGCCCACGAGTCTTCAGCTTACGACCGATGTCAATCACCCGCGAGGGTTTAGGGTCTAGGTCGTAGTCTTGGTAATCCGAATAGGGTTTGTAGGAACGTTGTGGTTTTTGTTTAATTTCTCAATGTTCAGACCCTCTGAGGTCAGCAACCACTTGCACCTTGCCTGAAAAGCTGCTGCTACTATGCTTTAAGGTTCAGGGTTATGGCTCTAGGGTTCTTCTGCCGACATGAGGCAGGGTTGACATGCATGGGTATTGAGGAGTGTATCTAAAGCTCCGTGGGATTACAAGTTGGGCATATTGGTGAGTGTACATTGTGGGTATTATTGTGGGCAGTCTGTTTCCAGAGTTTGGTGCCCGTGTTGTGTCGCCGAGGTTCTAGGTCTGTGTAAATAGCAGGACGCGGCGATGTCCTTCCGAGGCACGCCGCGCGGCAGCTTCAATCAACTCTCTTTACACTGAGTTCAAGGACCCCATAGTGTTAGGACACCTCTTGCGGAAATCTAGAGCCCTGAAAACATTGCAATGAGCTGTTATGAAATCTGTTGCCCCAAACCCATGTCAACTTGCTTTTCTTGCTCCATGCGCTAGGGGCACTCCACGGAGAGGCACGTTAGCATTCCTGGGCCCAGACCGAAAGCACGGGGTAGTTCCGAATCTAACTTTTAAATCTGATGTATATAGCAGCAATATCGCCTTTTTAGTCCCTAATGTCATCATACCAGAATAAACCCCAACACTATGAAGGCACCTGTGCTGGGGCTTCTGGGATCGTCAGGGTATGAAAGTGCCTTTCAGAGGGATCCGAACAGCGACCTTGTGAAGAAGGCAACATGAAGGCAGTTTTGGGCTGAGGACTCCTTTGCAGACGCGGGACCTCAGAAGCATCTCTTTAACAACCCTGCCTCTGAGCCTAAACACTAAAAAGACTTGGACCCTTACACCCGAGACCCCTGAACCCCTACCTAAACCCCTAAATCCTTAAATCCCTAGATCTCTAATCCCTTGCCCCTTAATCCCTAATCCCTACACCCGGAACCCAAGGCCCCAGAGCTGGCCGAGAACTCCCAAAGTGGCCGAGGTCGCCTGTACTCCGCCTGCGACAGCCTGGTGCGGGAGATGGGCCTGGAGGGCGAACTCAGCGCTTTGCCGCGGGCGCCAGGAGCACTGCAGCCTTTCACAGCCTTTGGGGAGTGACCTCTGGGACTAGGACGTGCTGCTTCGGCTTGGGGTTTAGGGCTGATTGTTTAGGGTAAACCGTTTCAGGATTGTTTTTTTGCTTGTTGTTTTTGAATTGGGTTGTGGCCGCCCAGGATTTGCATAGAGCTCTTACAGATGCCTTGTAAACATGATTAAAGCTTGCAGCCTTATCATAGACAGCATCTGGGTCAGTTTTCCGAGCCAGCAGGATGCGTGGTCGCCAGCCCAACTGAGCATCTCGGAATGATGGTTTCGGGATGTTAGGGGTTAGGGTTCATTAAGGATTGAGGTGCATGTCAAGGTTTGGGGTTTTAGGGTTGACGCTGGATGCCAGAGTTCATCCTATGCCTGAAGCACTGAAGCCTTAAACCCGCTCACGACTACCTTTCGTCTTGCCATGGGACCAGTAGGAGGGTTCTCGACGAATGGTTAGGGTCTTTGGATGCACTGCGGTAAATTTGTACACGGACTATTATAGGGTATAATGAGTTTGGGTGCTGGCCGTACTTGCCGTTTGCTTTTCTTCAAAAACTCTCAGCTCACACAGCTGCTTGAGTTGCACGACGTCTTTGCAGAAGGAGCATCCTGAGCAACGGCCGTAAACACTAAACCCCAAGGGATGGAGCTCCGAGATACCCCAACGGGTTTGGTACGGTTGATGATATAAATCCTGCATTACCCATAATAAGGAATATACCATAATTCCCATAGTTTAGGGTCCTTCAGGTAATGCAGGATTTATATCATCAACCGTAGTAGGTGTCGAGATTGCAGGGCTTAGGTGTGTAGGGTAAGGGCCTATAGGACCGAAGGCCTACCGTACAGACCAGACCCGTTCCATGGTGGTGGAAACCCGTCAGCCTGAGCATGCATAAGCCCTGACTGCTAGGCCCTAAACTCTGAACTCCGAACCTTAAATCCTAGACCCTAAAACTCCAAAAAAAGCATCGGTTAGGTGTTGGACCGTCTCCATGAGGAGGAAGGCCCTGACGGATGCCGCTCGAATCGGGATCGAGTTTAGGGTCTAGGGTGTAGGGGGTTTAGGGCCTAGGTTGTAGCGTTTAGGCTTCAGGGTGTTGGGGCAGGTCTAGTGTGCTTGTGAGTTGGGGCTTGCTGGCTCTTGGTTAAGGGAGCTGAATCGCGGTTTGGGTGTTGAGCTACCGCAACACGAAGAAGTCACATAATGTGCTATTTCTACAAATTGTGGCAACTCAACCCTAAACCCCCAACCCTAATCTTTTCGTTTATTGTCCTAGCCAGAACCTCGTATTATTTTGGGATTCTTGGCTTTGTTGCTTTCGAGTTTTACTGTGTTGCCTTTCGAGTTCGGGCTTCGGGTGTGCGAGTTTGGGCTTCGGGTGTGGGATTCTTAGGGTACTTAGATGTATTTTTTTAAAATTTTTGGTTATTATAATCCCTAAGAGACAGCTAAAGTTATAATTTTTGCTAGGGTTCTAAGTTCAGTATAGGGTTTAGGGTTTAGGGTTCAGGGTTTAGGGATTAGGGTTTAGGGTTTAGGGTTTAGGGCCTCAGATTTTTCCCTGCTCCATCAGCCCTGTTTTGTGTAGAAAAACCTGATCGAAGCTGTAACAACACCTGACCATGTCAAGTTCCTGATTGAGGGACGGGGGGGGGTCCACGGGGGGCGGGGATGTATGCATCAGGGTATACAAAAATCCTTGCATGCCGTCGTTCATGATTCGGTTACTAGATAATAACCCAGGCATTAGGTTTAAGAAACGCCGTAAAACCACATTGACATGTCGAAACCTGAGATCCTAGCGCACGTAGGGTTGAGGGTTCAGATCTGTTATGTTGCAGCGAAAGAACCATTTCTGATGAGCTACAGTCAACATTAGGGATAGTCGGGGTCCATCAAGCAGGCTCTATATAGACATAACAGTTGGGCCGCTGTGAAGGTCTTTTTACAAGCAGCTATGGCAGTTTAGCAATCCTGTCCCAACCATAGCGCCAGTTGCCTGTCCTTGCTGCATGGCCCAGGTAGCTGCAGAGAGCTTCCGGTATTGGAACCTCCATGCGCAGTGCGCGGCTCGGCTGCCATCCGGCATACCGCGAATGTACCCAAAGCCAGATTCCGGAAATCATTCAACGCAAATCCCACCTTAAAGGTTTGTAGCATCACCAAAACAGATTTAAAAGCCATTTCAAAGGGGTCTTGAGAAGTGTGGTCCAGCAACCTTCCAGCCGACTTTAGCATAGGGAGCACCCTCAAATTCCCATTCGTGGTTCCGGAACACACCAGACCTAAACCCTCAAAAAAACTCTGAACCCCACACTCTCCCACAGAGAGGTCACTGTAACGTGTATCTCAATTACTCAGAGTCTATAAGAAGGCAGGGCCTTGGAACAGCAATGCAGCCTCGGAAGCTTGCGGCAGGTTCAAAGACCGACCCCAAAACCCTCTCCAAAGCAATAAACCTTAAAGTCTATGAATCCTGAACCCGAATCCCTAAACGTGAGCCCTAACCCTCACAGCCCTTGCAAAGGACATGATGCTGTTGATGGGTGGAACTGGCATCAATGCCTGCGGAAGGCCACTAGTTTCTTTTTGAAAATGTGGTGGTTCAACATCTGCACATTATCTCGTGAGGGGAGTGAGGGTAGTTCTTGGAAGGTCCTGGTCGATTCAACGCTGGGGTCTTAGGTCCAGGTTGTAGGGAGCTGTGAGTTCTAGGGAGACTAGAGTTTAGGTTTCAGGATAAAGTTCAGGGTCTAGAATTCCCTTTGCACGGATGTGGGACTCGGATCGTTTGTCAGCGAGTGGTCTGCGGTGTTTCCCCCAAAGCAAATCAGATGCAGGCCCACGTACCGACCGCACGACTACGGCGAGTGGAACCACAAGAAGCAGTTGCCGAAAAGCTTTGACCACGGCTTGACACTCAAGGCGCTTCCAGCATTCAATGTTCGATTGCAGTTCACGATCTTCTACAGTAATGGCCTACATAGTTGCCAATACTTTACCTCATATAAGTACAGTCTAACAAATGCCAAAACCCCAATTGTAAGGCCGACATCATGGAATCCGTATCGCAATCCCTTAAAGCAGCCCATCTTATTGCAGCCCTGCAGTACCATGATGTAGGAGTTTCCGAAAACAGGGGCCCCTTATATAGTACCCTAAATAGTAGGATCCTTATTACAAGGGCCCCAAAGAAGGCGCCCCTTGTTTTCGGAAACTCCCATGTGGAGAATTGTAGGAGTTCGGCTGCTCTCTGGCTTCGTGTAATTGTGTCGGTTTTCGACACTGGAGGTCCAGAGGGTTTTGAGTTCGGTAAAGTTGGGGTTGAGGGTTGGGGGTTTAGGGTTTAAGGGCTTCGGCTTTGCGTGTTCAGGGCTTTGGGGCCTGACTTTTGAAAGAGAATCGCCTGGAGGCACCAATTTCTTCCCTCCGTCAGACACTCCGGTTTTTGCTGCTTCTGCATAAAAGGATCCGGACCACCAAGCTGCATGGCCAAAGCGAAGCGAAATTTCACATATAGCCTAGAGCCTAAAGCCCCCAAATGTTGCGGATCGTTGTTACATGGATGACAGTGATCACAAGAGCGCTCATCACATAATTGTCATCATCACAACCTGAATCTGAAACTTATAACCATCACCCTCGTCATCACAAGCTTGATCATCATCTTCATCCCCACCATCATCATCATAGCCGTCATCACCATCACCAACAACATCGCCATCATCACCATTCCCACCATCATCATCGCAATCACCGTCTTCATCACCAATATCACCAACATCACCTTTACCACCATCACCACCATCACCGTCACCGTCACCACAACCATCATCCATAATCGTAAGCACTATCAGCAATTAGCCGCATCCAGGTTCATAGTCAGCATACATATACCTGTTGTCATAGCATTATTCTTATTGTTGCTGTTACTAGTATGATAACAGTCCTCGCCGGTATCCTACTTGCTATTATTGCTACTATTCTACTAGTATTACTGCTGTCTATTGTCATTGCATGTTATTGTTATTCGTATTATCTGTCTGATTAGTATTGTTAATATTCAGCCGATACTCCTCAGGTGTCTTGCTGGAACGAGCGCTACAGTGCGGTGCGAGGCAGCCGCTCGTCTCTCTGCTGTCCCTTTCGTCGAAAAGTGCTAAAACCAAACTAGAGCCCCTGCTTGGAACAGGGCTCCTGCTAGGGGTTTCTTAAGGGGTTTAGAAGGGTTTTGTAAGATTCGGGTCGTATTAGTTGGAATAGTCTTGTGGGCGGTATGGTTTTCTGTAGCGTTAACCAGGAAGGAATCCTAGTCTATATGACAAATACCCAAGCCCGGCAAAGCCATAACAGCCCTCAGCTCCACCAACCCCTACTTGGAGGTTCATGGGCATTTCTAAATGGGGTCATAAGTCCCCTAGTAGGGGTTACGACCATAGTTACCCTAATTGTAGCCCCACTTATAACTACCCACGAACCTCCAAGTAGGCCCTAAACCCTATAGCCTTATAGAACCCCTATAGATCCCTTTAAAGGGACCCTTAAAGGAACCCTTGTAACTACCCATGTACCTCCAAGTACACTCCAAGAAGTTCGGTGGTTTTGATTCGGATTTCCTGGACCCCGAACTGCCAAAATCTCTACTGGCCTGGGGGCCTCCCGAGCCTTGAACTAAAAACCCCAACCCGAGGCCCTACCCTAAACTCTAAACCCTAAACCCTAGACCCTAACCTCCAAACCCTAGACGTGTTCGATTCCGTTCGTCATAGGAAGGACGATAGGGGGATATTGCTTCCAACTCTTACTTGGAGGTTCATGGGTAGTTAGAAGTAGGGTTATAAGTAGGAGAACTATAGTTATAACCCATATTTGGGGACTTATCACCCCACTTATAGCTACCCATGAACCTCCAAGTATCTCAAAGGGTTTAGGGTGCATTGGGCATCGTAATATCAAGGCCTCCAACGGGGTCTCTCCGGGTCTCTTTGTCATAGTTGTGTAACATTTTACATTTTTATGGGTACTTAAACCGAATCAAGGAATAAAATGTATATTTTTAATCCTATCCGAACAACGGACTATATCTTGGCTTCGGGTTTTACTTCTCAGGCTGCGGCTCGGGTGTTTGGAGTTAAGGCGAGAGCCCACCACAAAAGGTCAATTCAGGCCCTAAGCCTAATGTAGGGACCTTTAAGAACTAGAATAGGGTTTTGACGTTTTCCTAATATAATTATGGTATAGTATACCCCCAACCCTATTCTGATTATTGAGGCACCAATACTAAACCCTTAAAGTAACCCCTAAAGGAACCCTTGTGATACCCTTTAAAGGAACCCTATTCTTGTTATTAAGGCCCCTACATTAGCCCCCCATCTTCTGCCGAGGCGCGGGGAGCGCTGGGGAAGTCCTGACCTGTGTGAATGGGCCGCCTGGAGTGTACGAAGACAGCTTCGGTGAAGGGATGAGGGTATGTCAGGGTTTAGGGTTTAGGGGTTTAGGGTTTAGGGTTTGGGGTTTAGGGTTTGGGGGATAGGATTTAACGTTTAGGTGCAGGGATGAGGGTTCAAGTTGTCTTAGGCTTACTGGTTTAGGGTTTAGGGTTCAGATGTGGGGATGAGGGTTTGGGGCTGTTTTGGGCTTACTCTATGAGGATGAGGGTTCAAGGTTTAGGGTGTTTTCGGGTTACTAAAAGGTTCTCGTTCGATATATGCTGTAAGCCTTACAACTTATGGTCTTGGCTACGGGCTGAAGGCTTTCAGAGGTAAGGTTTAGGGTTGCCTGTTCCTGTCGGAGTCTATAGCCTGACGGTGCCCCACAGGCGCAAACATCGAAGCCGAAAGAGAAAAAAGGGTTCTGTAGTAGAGAACCTTCAACGCCGTAAGTCTCCCAGCAGCACCCATGTCCCGTATTAAGCCTGGATCCTAGGAAACAGGTACCCTGATTCTTAAGGGTTGCTCGGGAACCTGGTATCCTAAAGCTTTACACCCCTTAAAAGAGGCCCCTACTTAGAGAAAGCTTTGCGCCCGAAGCCCTGAACCTTTGCGCCCGAATCTCAAAACCCTTGCGTGCAGTAAGGGCCCTGACAACTACCCTTGTAGAAGTTTGACAGCGCGCCAAAACAAAGCCTAAAGCCGTAAGTCCAAGACCCCAAACCCTAAACCCTAAACCCCAAACCTAAACAGAGCCTCAACAATTACCTATACCATTTTGGGGGTTCCTTATTACAGTTATAGTACAATGGCCCCGAGACCCTCTTCGAATTATTATGCCCCTATACTAAACCCTTAAAGGAACCCTTATGATACCGTTTAAAGGAACCCTATTCTAGTTATTCAGGCCCCTATATCAAATACTTAACCCCGGAACCCCCACCTTAAACCGGAATAACCTACCTTTTTGAGGACATATATAAGGAAATCATAATAAGGAGCCCTAAACGGGTAGGTTATTCAGGGTTAAGGCAGCTCTCAGGAATTGGCTCAACTCCTAAACCCTAAACCCTATATTAGATACTTAACCCCCAGCTCTCAGGAATTGGTTCAACTCGGCAGATGAGCCCGGCATGGGGAGCTTCGACTGCCTCGAGTGCGTTCAGGCGGGGCGGCTGGGGGGACTCGGGGGTGCCAATTAGGGGTTTAGGGGTTTAGGGTTTGGGGTTTAGGGTTTAGGGGTTTAGGGGTTTAGGGGTTTAGGGGTTTAGGGGTTTAGGGTTTAGGGTTTAGGGTTTAGAAATGATTTTTTGTTATTGGTTATTCTAATCCCTAAGAAACAGCTGAAATCATAATTTTTGCTAGGGTTCGAAGTTCAGTATAGAATTAGGGACCCCAGAAGGACATAAGCTTAAGCGTTTTAACAGTGTATCCCTACCCTATTGGGCTTCATTATAAGGGGGGTTTATACGGGATATCCCTATCCTAACGGGTGTAAAGTATTTGGAGGTTCATGGGTAGTTATAAGTAGGGTCAAGGCCCCTACATCACCATTCCTTAGTCTTCCCTCTCAACTTACAAGCCACACCTCTCTTCGGGTTTATAGTAGAAGCCAGAAAGTTGGAACATCAGACTCCTCATGCCCTTAAGGTAAAGTATAAGGGATCCTAGCACTAATCCTCCTAAAGCCATGTTCCAACTTTCTGGCTTCTACTGTAGGATGTTGGATCCAGGATTCTGCTGCTTCTTCCAGTTCCAAAACCGGGGCCCGCGTCCGGCTGTCCAGCTTCCCGGATCTGAATGCCCAAACGCGATTGAAATTGTGTGAAAAGTTCAAAACTCCATATGGAGCCCCTATAGAACCCTTGAGGGGCCCGTATAGAACACTCCTAGAGCCCTTATACCTTGCTTGAAACCCTGGAATGTTGAGCCCAAAGGGCTGCAGGCAAGGGTTGATCGCTGGCAGGGTGATGTAGGGGCCTTCATAATTAGAGGGTTTTTGATCGGTTCCTTATTACAAATATAGTATAATGTACCACCAGCATTATTCTAATTATTAAGGCCCTTGCATTGCATCCTTTCAGTTCAGGGTTGCGGGCTTCCAGTTTGAAGACACACCAGACCCGATGGCGTTGCAGGGTGCACTTCGGGTTTTGAGGTCTGGGATCGAGGGTGTCTTCTAAGGGTTCTGCTTCGTCTGCAAGGATTCCCTGTAGATGTAGAGCGTTGGGGTATGGGCATCGGGATTCAGGGCTTTGGGGTTTTGGAGTTTAGAGTCCCGGCAGATTGTGCTCCTCCTTCAACTCTCAACCCCAAGGCCTTAAAGGCGTAAACCCCCCACGGCCCGAACAAATATTCTGGGTTGATGAGCAGTACCCTTTCTCCCTTGCCTGAAAGAGCCGAATACTTGGAAAACGGGTCCCCTTTCTTAATAAGAGGCTGCTCAGGAACTTAGTATTCCTAAGCCCTAGACCCTAAGCCCTAAACCTTAAACCGTAAACCCCAAGCCCTAAACCCTAAGCCCTCAGCCCTAAACCCTAAGTCCTAAAGCCTAAACCCTTTGAGGGAATTACCCGTGGGAGCTTTCCTTCTGGAAGGTCGGTTCGCATGGTTTCAACAAGATCGAGCAGCGCCGGGAGCAGGATCGTCGGCGTTCGACGGCAAGGGTTCGATAAAAGGGTGCCTTCGCTAAGGGCTACTGCAGGGGTTTTGGGGGAGTGTCTAGGCTTCAGCGTGTGAGGGTTGGGATCTACGGTTGGGTTTAGCGTTTGGGTGTGAGATTTGGGGATTGGCGGTGTCGGGATCTAGAGGTTAAGGTGTTTCCAGAAAACTAACATGGAATCACTCCTGGAATCCTTGCAACATGCAAGGCTAACATACCGCTTATAGGTTATATTAACCCTAAACGCTGATGCCCTCAAACGCTCCAAGATGATAGGAGCTGTATTACTTCAACCGTATGCAGCTGTCCATCCACAGCTGCCTGGCATGCAGCATTCGGGTTTAGGATGGCATGCGGATTTTTTTGAGCGGGGTAAGGCTTAGTTTGAAAAGGCGGGATTTATGGCTTGGGGTCTCGAAGATTATACGTGTGGGGGGAGGAAGTTTAGGGCTTTTGGGCTTCCGGGTAACAGGCGCGAGGGTTGGGTCTTTGACACCCTTTATTACACGGTGTTGAGGCCTGGTAAACTCCCAATCCCAAAATCTTAAATCCTACACCCAATATGAATGCGTGTTGGGAGTAGTCTACCCCAAACCCTAAACCGCACACCCCTAAACAGTCCTCAAACCCCTAATCCAAGCGGCAAAACGATGGTGAGGATATCCTCTAAGAGCATCTTCGCACAAAGCGCTACAGGTCCCTGAAAAAGCAATGCGCAACTCCATCTAAACTCCTAAGTTAGAACCCTAAAAGCAAACCCAAAACCCCCTAAACCCCTAAACAACACCCTAAACCGCTAAACCTCGAAACTCCCAAACCAAAAGCCCCAAACCCCTAAGCCCCTAAACCTTAAACCCCCGAGCCCTTAAACACCTAAGCCCGAGGAGCCCTCAGCCCAACAGCGCCCCTACACCCTAAACCCCCAAGCCCCAAAACCCTAAGCCCCAAAAGCCCCTAAGCCCCAATACTATAGTACCCTTATCGATCCCTTATAGACCCTTTATAGGACCCCCTGTAAAGGAGCCCAATTCTAATTATTAAGGTGCAATCGCCGCCCCGATCCGAGGTGAGGTGAATCAGCTTGGCAGTGACAAGATCCATTGCATGGAGCCCAAGGAGCTAAGAAAGGGGTTCCTTTAAGGGTTCCTCTAAGGGATGCAGATAAGAATTCTTCTAAGGGATGCAGATTCCTTTAAGGGCTCCTCCAGGGTTTAGGGTTTAGGATTTGGGGTTTGGGGTTCAGGGTTTGGGGTTTTAGAGTTCACGGCATAGGGTTTAGGGTTTAGCCCTCTCGAAGGGGTTCCTTTTAAGGGATTCCGTTTAAGGGTTCCTTTAAGGGATTTCTTGAAGGGGTCTGGGCTTGAGGGTGTGGGATTAGGCTGTAGGGCCGAGGAAGGCCTTAGGGCTTGGGGTTTTGGGCGGTTCCTGTAAGGGTTCTTAAGAAAACAGTACAAGTCTCAAAACTAAAGGGTACTAGGATTTGTACAGGTGCACGTCTGAATGTGCCGGACTCCCAGTCAATGTCTTGAACTCGCCAAGGTTCACTGAAACGATCACTCTGAACCCAAATCCAACACCCTACACATGCCAAGACACACAGCCCCAACCAGCACGCGGTAGGGTTCCCAAATTAAGTCAAATAAAGGTCTTTGTGATATAAAGGACTCCAAACCTGAGCCTTCGACTTCTTCATGCTTCTATCTAAGGTTGGGAGTAGGTTAACCCAGAAGCTTCAACCCTAACTCTAAGGCCCTTAAGGGGTTCAGACTCTGCAAGATGGGGCGCAAGGAGTTTCTGGGTTCACGGTTTTGAGGCTTGGTGCTGGGGTTTCGGTGTTTAGGTGGTACGGGGTTACGCTTGTTCGTAGGGTTTCAGGATTTCGGTGGTTTCGGGGTCAGAAGGTCTAATCGCTCCGCCAGGAGCAGATGGAACCAGTCCCTATCGCAGATCCACAAGGCTGGACTCGCAGAGAGCCAAGCAAAACGGACTGTCGTTTCAGCAGTTGTCAGAGGTTTTCCGTTTGATGTCCAGTATTGCGCTGAGGGTGCTGCTGACATGGAGGCTTCCCCAATGACGGTTCGTACCAACTTCGGTTGTTCTACTATATCACGTGTTACATTGTGCATAGATGTCGAGGATTACTGCCAGCTTTTCGCATGTCGTCTCGGTTACACGGCTTCTGCAACCTCTGTTGTCGATTCAGATGTTGCAGTATAGGTTGAGAGTTTAGGGTCTAACATATCGCTTTCGGGCTTACCATTTGGAGTTTACGGCCTAGCTCAAGCTTAAGCTCGAGGTTTTGGAGGCCCCCTGAACCCTAAACCCTAAACCCTAAACCCTGAACCCTAAACCAAAAAAACCCTAAACCGCGAACCCTAAACCCTAAATCCTTGGGTTTGGGGTGCTTCTTGCGGTGATCAGCGTCGTGCAGGTACGACACTGAAGCAACAGTGGAGCCCTGAAGAAAGGGCTGAACAACGCACATAATATAGAGTAATTACTTGGAGGTTCATAGGTAGTTATAAGGGTTCCTTTCAGGATCCCTTTAAAAGGACCTGTAGGTTTTTATAAGGGTATAGGGGTTTAGGATTTACTTGGAGGTTCATAAGTGGGGTTATAAGTCCGGTAATATGGGTTATAACTATAGTTGTCCTATTTATAACCCTACTAATAACTACCCATGAACCTCCAAGTAGCAATTACCTCTTACCCCAAAACCATATTCTAACTGTTCAGGCCCCTACATTACACAGAATGATTGAAGCCTAGCCACTTGTAAGTGAGGACATTGCGTTCTCGAGCTTCGGTGCAGGTTCTTCTTGCGGCTTACTGTAAACGGCTTAAGCTTACCTTTGGTTAGTAGGGAATGGAAGAATGGTAGTAATAGTAGTTATAGTTGTACCCCATTCCTCCATTCCCTACTAACCAAAGGTAAGCTATAGGATTATTAAGGCCACAATGTTATAGTACCCTTATAGATCCCTTATAGTAACCCTTATAGACCCCTTTACAAGGCCCTAAACCCTAAACCCTAAACCCTAAACCCTAAACCCTAAACCGTGCTCCCAGTCAAGGCGCTTCTTGGATGGTTGAAGCAACGCCCCTCTACGAGCGGAAGCCAATCGCCTCTCGGCATATGTTTTGGGTTTAGGGTTTAGGGTTTAGGGTTTAGGGTTTTTTTGGGAATTGAGGCTTCGGGCTGTACTTACTGTTGCTTAAGAGAAGCGTGGAGGAAGGAATATAAGGATTAGTATAGAGTCTATACTATTTTGGGGGTTCCTTATTATAGTTATAGTACAGAATACACCAACACCCTGTTCTAATTGTTAAGGCCCCTATACTAGATTATGTAGGTACTATATCGGGATCCCCACCCTTAAGCACCAGTAAGTTTAAGCCTTCATTCAGGGCGTCAGGGTTTTGAGTGGGGCTTTTGCGGTTTAGGCTGTCAGGGCTGTTGCAGTTTTGAGGTTGGGGTTTATGGGTTCTTAAGACGTTTATTCCCTTCTCGGGCTGCTCTAGGTCCGGGAGAGTTATATGTACCCTAAATTGAGTTATCCTGCTTATGACAGTGATCCTTTTTACCCATTTTGCGTTTTCCTCGGCGTTTAGAGTTTATCCCCGCTTGTGTGAGACTCGAAGCTTCAATGGCGTACCTGTGCTTACTAGGAAATGGAGGAATGGGGTACAATTATAACTATTACTACCATTCTTCCATTCCCTACTAACCAAAAGTAAGACTACCCCTATAGATCCCATTATAAGGAACCCCTATAGATCCCTTTAAGGAGCCCTATAGATCCCTTTAAGGAATCATTCCCTACTAACCAAAAGTAAGGTGGGCCGGTCGCGAGGCTAAATTGTCTACTCTTTGCGGTTTAGGGTTTAGGTTTTTTAGGGTTTACTACTGTAGGACCCAGAGTCGGGCCTTAGTCCTTTTTGAGGGTTTAGCTTCCCCTATAAGCCCCTTTCATAATTTACACCAAAAAGAGCACCCTTTTATTTCTAGCTTACTCTTAGGTCTAGTCTAAACTACTAAAGGGAGTTTGGGCTAGGATGGCCGTGTCCAGGACAGCCGCCGCGAATCCAGGATTGAGCGGTTGCGTATGGCTATACGGTGATGATGTAAATCCTGCATTACCCATAATAAGGAATATATCATAATTCCCATAGTTTAGGGTCCTTAAGGTAATGCAGGATTTGTATCATCAACCGCAGGGGTGAGGTCGCAGAGCGCGGAGCGGTCAAGGGTTTTGGGATAGTCGTTCAGAGAATCGAGGGTTTGGGAGTTCAGGGCTTCATATCAGGATGAACAGTGATGCTGTGATGGTGATGGTGAGTTTGATACGAAAAAAGAATTAAGATGGTCGAGGAAGACGAATAAACAAGGGACGGTGACGGTAAGGAAGAGCATCAACAACATGGTTTCTACGGTGGCGGTGGGGACGATGAGGATGCACGTTGTTGGCGACGATGATGATTGGTGAGGTTCTGAACCCTAAACTCTAAACCGTAAACCCTCAAGCCTAAACTCTAAACCCGAAGCCCTAAATGGTGACAACGGTGATGATTCTGACTGCGGCGACTCTGAAAATGGCTGTGGAGATGGGCGAGAAGCGGTGAGCAGACTTGGAGCATCTACCTGGACAGACCCCTTTTAGCTCTCCCGTGAAGAATAATCGTAGTAGTAGAAGTAGAAGTAGAAGTAGAAGTAGAAGTAGAAGTAGAAGTAGAAGTAGAAGTAGAAGTAGCAGCGGTAGTATTATAATTACTATTATTCTTAGTAGTAGTAGTAGTAGTAGTAGTAGTAGTAGTAGTAGTAGTAGTAGTAGTAGTAGTAGTAGTAGTAGTAGTAGTAGTGGTAGTGGTAGTGGTAGTGGTAGTAGTAGTAGTAGTAGTAGGCGGCCGTTGTCAGTAACGGCAACAGCCACTCACAAGCAAAGCCGGCATTACAGCAGCGGTCATTAAGGGACATGGTGGCTCATGCAAGAGCGCAAGGGAACGACATCTGATGCACATCTCCATCACCACGATCAGCATCCTCACCATGACTGTGAGCATGACCCAAACCCCAAACCCCTGGGCGTAAGCAGCCTCATATCCCCGGGCGCACAAGCCCGATAACTGAGGAGATCATGCGAGTTGAGATGTACGAAGTACATCATGTACCTCGACTGCAATCTTGATTGCCGTCGTCATCGTCGATGTGGTTGTTGTTGATGTATGTTGCTGTTGTTGTGGTTATTGGGGTCGTAGCTGCCGACGTCATCGTCATCCTCATGATTGTCGTCGATTGTCGTAATCGTGGTTGCTGTCATTCCTCGTACCGTTACTGTTGTGCCAGCCGGTGGTTTTGTTTAAGCAAACCCTAAACCCTTTTCAAACCGTATGAGACCCTACATCCCTTGTAAAACACATGACTTCCCCCCGCCTCCTGACTTCCCCTCCCCTCCCAGAGAGACCCTAAACCCTGAATAAACCCTGAATCCACAAGACAAGAAGCCCCTCAAGCCCAAAAGCGCTGAATATACAGAAGTGGACCCATCAAGGCCATAATCCCTGAACCCACAAAGGAAGCAGACCCAAAAGCCCTGGCTTAAGCCCTGAATCCCAAGGAACACAAGACCCAGAAGCCCTGGTAGAAAGTATGTCCAAAGGAAAAGGAGCTGAACCCTAAGCCCCAAGCCCCAAACCCGAACGCCTAAACCTGAATTTAGGGTTTAGGGTTTACTGAATTTTAGGGTTCAGGGTTTAGGGTTTACTGAATTTTAGGGTTCAGGGTTTAGGGTTTACTGAATTTTAGGGTTCAGGGTTTAGGGTTTACTGAGTTTTAGGGTTTAGGGTTTAGGGTTTACTGAGTTTTACGGTTTAGGGTTTAGGGTTTAGCCAAAATCCCTTGAAGGAGAAGAAGACCTTTGACGGTTGGCAGAAGTGGGCCGAAGACCAGGGAGGTCGTCTTCTAACCTTTGAAGACGCTCGGCTGAAGGTTTAGGGTTTAGGGTTTAGGGTTTAGGGTTTAAGGTTTAGGGTTTAGGGTTTAAGGTTTAGGGTTTAGGGTTTAGGGTTTAAGGTTTAGGGTTTAGGGTTTAGGGAACAGCACGTTGTTTTTGGGAAAATGTGTTTGTGTGTAGTTGTCTTTTGTGTTGGGGTGGTTAGGGTTTACGTGGTTTCTGTTGCGTGATCGCCATCATTACCACGACCATGGCCAACATCATCATCCGCATCAACGGCGTGGTATCAGCACCACTCTCACCGGCAGCATCACCATCACCATTATCACTATCATCGCCTTCATCGCCATCATTGTCATCATCTTCTGCTTCAAGACCAGAAGAAGCCAAATCACGCAGGAAACCAACCGTAGTAGCAGTAACCCCAAGCTGTCTGAGCATCCTCACATGAAAGCCGAGATACCGAAAGCACGAATGTCCAGCAATCGAAACCAAAAAGTGAAAACAAACCCTAAACCTTCCTATAGAGAATATCGAAACTTACCTAAAACCTCAGGAGGCATGGACTTGGTGCCGCGAGGGCAACACAGTTTTCTTCGCCGATCGCGGTCCATGTCCCAGAGGGTTTAGGGTCTGGGTTTCAGGGTTTAGGGTTCGGCGTTTAGGGTTTAGGGTTTAGGGTGTGTGTCAGTGCCGGTCCCGAGCCCTAACGGTCTTGCCACTTTCGTGTAGAGGATCCCGCCCCAACCACCCGAGGTAGCACTTTTCGATGGTTTTGGGGCATGTTCCATTCCCTAGGTTTGGAGTACCATACTTGAATACTTCTTTTGGGTACCGGTTCCTTAAATGAACCATTCTGAAATAAACGTCTATACATTTTTCTCCCTGGTTACTTCAAAGTCCAGACCCAGAGACTCCAACATCCCTTAGTTAAGGAATATTCCTTAAATCATATTGGGGATCCTACTATAACTTAAGGTATATTCCTCAATTAGGGGATATTGGAGTCTCTGGGAATAGTATAGGAAATTATAAAGGCCTCTCTATTATACGCCTTATGGGGTTCCCGGCCCGCTGGGCCGCTTGGGAGCCGCGGAAAGCCGAAAACGTGCTTGGTACGATGTCCTAGAGACTCCAATATCCCCTTAATTAAGGAATATACCTTAAATTATAGTGGATCCCTAAGATGATTGAAGGTATATTCCTTAATTAAGGGGGATATTGGAGCCTCTGATGTCCTATGATCGGCTTTGGGGGCGTCGGCGTCGCGCCCTGTGAATAACTGCAAGCAGTCTAAACATCCGCGACAGCAAACCCCTCACATCGGAAATCCGAACTTGGGATTCGAAAGTTCTCGTCGCTTCAGACTCTGATGTGTTTCGGAATTCACTCATTGCAACCGATTTTCCCCAAAGTCGACGACCATGCCGTCAGAACCAGAAAGGCTCGACCACTGTCACATGCGAATGGGCTTGAAGTGCCTAGGAAAACACAGGTCACCCAATTGTCATCCGTATTTCTCCAGCATTCGATGTAGGGGCTTGAAAAATTAGAATATGGTTTTGCGGCCATGATATTATAAATATGGTAATAAGAATAACAATAATAATAAGCAAACCCCCAAACCCTGTTCTAATTAATAAGGCCCCCTACATTACGCCATCATGCCACCCACTACGTGCATTGCGAACGGGACGGCCGCGACGAATGCGACAACGACCAGGAGACCACAAGGTTCCACCAAGAGAGCACCAAGATACAACTTAGGGTTTAGGGTTTAGGGGGTTTAAGGTTTAGGGTTTAGGACCCGCAACAGACTGGCAAGTGACCGACACAACAGCAGGAGACCACGAGAAGAGACTGCGAGGCGACCAAGAGATGTCCAGGAGACCACCAGGAGACAGCTTGGAGGTTCATGAGTAGCTATACGGGTTCCTTTAAGGGTCCTGTTAAAAGGATCTGTAGGGAGTCCATAAGGGAAAAGGGTTTAGGGCCTGCTTGGGGGTTCATGGATAGTTATGTGTGGGCTTATGGTTAGGGAAACGATGGTTATGACCCCTATTTGGGACTTATAGCCCCATTTATAACTACCCATGAACCTCCAAGTAGGCCCTAAACCCTATACCCTTATGGACTCCCTACAGATCCTTTTTACAGGACCCATAAAGGAACCCTTATAGCTACCCATGAGTTTGCAAGAGGAGCACCAGGAAACCAGGAGACCACCAGGACCCAGGATCAAGACGGGAGCAGAAACAGTTTCACTCCTTCGAGAAGCCCCGTGGCAAGAGCGGAGTTTAGGGTATTCCTAAACCAAAGGGGAAAAGGAGGGACCCTTAATGGGGACCCCTACCCTATAATGGGCTATATAATGGTCTATAGAATGGGTATATAATAGCTATATTAAGGGTATATACCTAGGGGTCCTTATTAAGGGTCCCTCCTTTTACCCTTGGACTAAACCGTACTGTAGACTGTAGACCTCAAAATGATAACATTGGTTTGGGGCTTAAGGGCTTAAGGTCCAGTTCCAGATTCTCAAGCCCAGTGTAGACCCCAAATTGGTAAATTTTGTTAAGGGCTGAAGGATTGTCTAAGGTTCCTGACTTGTGCGCCTCGTGTGGCCCCCAAAAGTGGTAGTAGCATACTTTGGGTTCAGGGTTTCAGGGTTTCAGGGTGTCGGGTTGGTGGTTTAGGGTTTTGGGGTTCCTGATTCATTAACCATGGTGACGCCTTCCTTCATGTGCACTAGTTTCAGGACTGCCAAAATACAATCCTGACAAATTACTAGGACCCAGAGTAGGCCCTTATTCCCTTTTTAAGGGTTTAGGTTCCCTTATAACCCCCTTTAAACCAAAAAGGGCACCCTTTTTCTTCCTAGGTTACTCTTGGGTCTAGTAGCGGGTTCCATTTTCTCCATCAGCCGTACCCTAGATAGTTCGGGCCGGGGGATACCTGATCTTCGCCTGCAGACTCTGGTTCGTGAATCCTATATCCTAAGAAGGAGTTTCAGCATCTTAGTTGCATCTACAAGGGTTTCATACGCGCTAAACAAGGGGCTCGAGGGTTTGGGATTGTGGGTTTTAGGTTGAAATGTCAGTTGCAGCAAACCTGGAACCCCTAATAGAAGCGAACATAGCAGGATCGCAGTTGTCAGGACCCCTGAAGCTACCCTTACTTCAAGAAGTTTCTCTTAGGGGCACTTAGAAATAATTTTTGGTTATTATAATCCCTAAGAAACAGCTAAAATTAAAATTGCTGCTAGGGTTCTAAGTTCAGTATAGTTCTGGATATCTCCAAATCGCCACCGGAAGGCGTTGACATGTGGGCTCCGACGTTGGAGTTCGATGGCACCAAGAATTGGATTCAAATCGGCAACGTCCCCTGGGCCGCCCCGGGAAAATCGCACGACGAGACGCGCCTCGGGTGCATGTGCTTTTGGGTGCCTCTAAGAAGTTGCTTCGGGATTTCTTAGCCTAGTAGTAGAGTAGGTAGCCTTTAACCTTTTTTGGGTAGTATAGCCCCAACATAATCCCTACATAACCAAAAAGGTTAACCTTTTGTTCCCCATGGTACCCGACATGTAGGTTAGGCTTTAGTTTGGGCTTGCAGATTTTGCAAGGCCTTACAGAGGGTTGTTGAGGATGGTTTTTGGTTTCATGAGGTTGTAGCCATATCAGGATTTCAACAAGGTTTTAGCCGTTAAGCTGGTTGGTTTGATTCAGTTTTGCTTATAAGTTTGACCTTAACTTCCTTATTATTCTGCTTAGGAAGAAGGTTCTTGCTTAAGATTTTGGACTTGCTTTTGGGATTCAGCTTGTTGGTTATTGCCACGGGACTGACGTGAGTGTCTATTCATTCATTGCGCTCGTTCGAGTTCTAAGAGTGGCAGAAAAGCAACAATGCAATGATCAGTGGACACATCCACAACATGTAACCTGCATAGGGCGTTTCCAATCGCAAGGAAGACCCTGGCCTAAACCCCGAAACCCCTAAACCCTAAACCCTGAACCCTTGAACCCTAAATCCTAGCCCGATACACTTTAAACAAACCCTGAAGGCCTACAGATGAACGCCCTTGGCCCCTAAATTCGGGCCACGTTTTCCGTGAGGTGGGGCTGGCCCGCCTGGGCGGATGACGTTTCCCTGAGCCCGTGCTGAACGTGGGAACATTTTGGGGCTTCTAAGCTGTTGGAACCCACATCCGTATATAGGTCCCACAAACCCCACACCCTAAACCCAAAACCCAAGACCCCACACCCTAAACCCTAAACCTTTAAACGTCTAAACCCCTAGTGACCTTCAAGAGGTTTTGGGTCGCATGCTAGCGTGTTAAGTCGGTAGGCGACGTCTCGATGAATCGTGCGGGTAACGACTTGTAAGCAACTCCATACCGTTCCTTCAGACTCTGCGAACGGTTCAGGGGTCTAGGATCCAGGGTTAAGGTTTCAGGGCTGGGGTTTTACGGCGTACTTTCGCAATTGGAAGCACCAGATTCATGTGAGTCCTCGGGAAAGGAAGCGCATTCTGACTCTACTCCAGGACTGTGGTAACTTAGCTGAAGGTCCTTGACAAGAACCCTAGTTATAAACCAACCCTTGAACCACAGACTACACCCTGAACGATTGGCACTGCTCCATTGAACCCTCAGCCAATGAACGCTTAAAGCACGACACCCCTAACGCCTCAACCTTAAGCACACCAAACGCAAAATTCCTTGCTCTAGGTATACTACCCCAGTATACTAAGTTATGCTCTACTCTGAGGCAAGGTTGGGGCGGACACGAAAGGGGCGTGCTGTGGATGAAGAAGACCACCGTGATCGGTGCATCGCGGGACTTGTCCTCTGCTTTTTGGGAGTTTGTTAGACGTGGACCCGATGTAACAATGCAGCGGTCCTTGCAATCCATGATTCAGGATTTAGGGTTTGGGGTCAGGGTTTAGGGTTCAGAGTTTAGGGTTTAGGGGTTTCGGGTTTGGGGTCAGGGTTTAGGGTTCAGGGTTTGCGTAAGATCCCCATCTTCGTCGGAAGCTGCACCTTTCCATTCCAACGCAGCTCTGGCTCCTCCCTGGGTCATAGTTGGATAACATGTTACATTTTAATGGGTACTTAAACCAAAAAAGAATAAACATGATCATTGTTAATCCTATCCCAGCAATGAACTAGCTCCTTTTTTGGACCAGCTAACCATATAAGAGCTAAGGAGCCAGGGATGATGATAATCCCTATTAAATAAGGAGCTAAAGAGCCAAGGGAACCCCCAAAACCACTGGTTAGCCAGGTCAGGGAGTCCTAAAGTAAAGCAAAAAAACCCTAGACCCTGGCCCCGAGACCCTAATGAACCGAAAAGCCCTAATTGATTACTGCAGGGGAATTAATAATCCCCTATTATACTATTTTGGGGGGGTTCCCTATCATAAACCTAGTAGAATTGTCAAGACCGATTGTACTCTCTTGGGGGTTCCTGATCATAATTATACTATTATACTAGAATGATGAAGGCCCCTAAACCCTAAACCCCTAAACCCTATTAGTACCCTTAGACCCTAAATTCATCAACCAGGAGCTGGAGGTGATGAAGTACAAGATCCTCGCAAAGCAGGCAGCATTGCCTGCCGGTTTAGGGTTTAGGGGTTGGGGGTTTAGGGTTTAGAGGTTTAGAGTTTAGGGGTTTAGGGTTTAGGGGTTTAGGGTTTAGGGGTTCAGGGTATAGGGGTTTAGGGTTTAGGTTTAGGGTTTAGGGGACTGAAAGATCACCTACAAAAGGGGACCGTAATAATTCGGGTTTAGGGTTCCTTATGAAGGAGTCTCTCAGGGTTACTTTTAGGGCTATTATGAGGATTTAGTATAGGGGCCTAAATTCGTATACTGTTTTGGGGGCTCTATAGTGCAATAGGCCTTAAAACCCTATTCGAATTATTCAGGCCCCTATACTTCGACCTTTGGACCCTAAATGGTACCGCTTTGCTAAGCCATCTGCTTCAAAGTCCTAAGTCTTAGCAGAAAAATCTGAAACCCGATTGCCCTCAAATCTCGAAGTTCTTGTGATTGTGTAAATCTTCACAGAACCATGGTGTAGAAATTTGTAGAGAAATCTTAGAGGGCGGAGGTCTGAGTTGTTAGCAGAAGTACCTGCTTGTCGTCCCTGTGCAGTTGTACCCTAAATCCTAAAACGTATCATAAACTACCCAGGCTCACTGCCGAGAGACACAACCCTTACATGAAGGAAGGTAAAGCGCAAGGACCCTTCCTTGCTGGTTCAGGACTTCTAAAGGGTGAAGGGTTTGAGGTTTCAGGGTCCAAAACGACTTCTTAGGGATACTTAGAAATAATTTCTAATTGTTGGTTATTATAATCCCTAAGAAACAGCTACAATTATAATTTTTGCTAGGGTTCTAAGTTCAGTATAGACTTTCTGAGATTCTGGGATCCCATCCAGTCGCATGGGAACCCAACGTCCGGATGGGCCCTGACATAGGGGCCTAAATTAGGGGACTTCATAATTAGATTAGGGCTTTGGGGCCCATTATACTATAATTATGATAAGGAACCCCCAGAATAGTATAGGTGATGATTAAGGCCCCTATAGTAAGGAACTATCAACACTACTTTGAGGGTTCCTAGCTAATACTTTCAATACAATATGTCCCCGAGCCCTATTCTCTTTGTTAGGTATTCAGGCCCCTGTATTCCCAAAAACCTCGACCCTACCTGTACCCGAAAGGGCCTACCTTCTTAGGTTTCATTATTATGGTTTCTATATATAGTTCTTTAAAAAGGTAGGTCTTTTCGGCTACAGGTAAACCCTAAGCAGCCTGAGCCCCGAACGCTCATCAGACTCCGAAGCCCCGGAGCCTTCATCCTGATCAGAGCCTGGAAGGCCACCCCCCAGGGTTCCTTAAAAGGGATCTACAAGGGCTCCTATAAGGGATCTATAGGGTTTGGATTAATAACTACTATAACGACCCATGAACCTCCAAGTAGACCCTAAACCCTATACCCTTATAGAATCCCTATAGATCCCCTTACAGGGACCCTTAAAGGAACCCTTATAACTACCCATGAACCTCCAAGTAAAGGGACCTTCACAGGCCACTGGGAAGGATCCGAGGATGACCTTCGACGAGGCGAAAGCCTGGGTGGAAGGACAAGGCGGACGGCTGATGACCACCCATGACGCTGATCTGCAGGTTTAGGGTCTAAGGTGTAGGGTTTAGGGTGTAGGGTTTAGGTGTAGGGTGTAGAGGGTGTGGGGTTTAGTTTAGGCGTGCCCATGACGCTCATCCGCGTTTCGGGCTCAGGATGTGGGATCTTCGCGACGTTGCGGATGTTGAAATTAGTGGTCGTAGTAGTAGTAGTAGTAGTAGTAGCAGCAGCAGCAGGAGTAGTAGAAGTAGTAGTAGTAGTAGTAGTAGTAGTAGTAGTAGTAGTCGTAGTAGTAGTAGTAGTAGTAGTGGTGGCAGTAGTTGCAGTAGTGGCAGTAGTGGCAGTAGTGGCAGTGGCAGTGGCAGGGGCAGTGGGAGTGGTAGTGGTAGTAGTGGCAGGGGCAGTGGGAGTGGTAGTGGTAGTAGTGGTCGTGGTCGTGGTCGTGGTCGTGGTCGTGGTCGTGGTCGTGGTCGTGGTCGTGGTGGTGGTCGTGGTAGTGGTAGTGGTAGATCAAAAAAGCAGCAGCAGCAGCAGGAGTAGTAGTAGAAGTAGTAGTAGTAGTAGTAGTAGTAGCAGCAGTAGTAGTAGTAGTAGTAGTAGTAGTAGTAGTAGTAGTAGTAGTAGGAGTAGTAGGAGTAGTAGTAGTAGTAGTAGTAGTAGTAGTAGTAGCCGCCACGGCTCAGACGTTTTGGAAGTTTCGCGCTGGCTTTCGAACTGGCTCTGGACTCCAACCCTTCGTTGCTAGAGGTCTCAAACAGGCCTCTCTCTGAACGACTAAGGGTTGGTGCCTCACGCTGAGCCATGTGCCATGTGCCAACTGTTTGCGTCTGAGCCGCCAGGTCCCAATTCCTGGACCCAGTACCCTGTCTCAACACGGGCCCACTGGGCAGGCGGTAGGGTTTCCACTAGCCGCGTGGTGGAGGGAGTCACTAGGCTTGCCTTGTGACGAAATAGCGGATGGCGCTGCTCCCAGTGCACTCACACAATTATTCTCAGATCAGGAAGAATTCTTTCAAGCATGTTTGCCGACAGGTGGCTGCCAGCCAGCAGCCTGTCTCTTACCGAGGTCAGGTTCTGACCCCGGCTCTTCTTAGGCGGATGGGCAATTGCCCGCCACAGCCTGGCCCCAAGCGGTCTTTTGCACCACGATCTCGGGCAGGTCAGGCCACCAGGCCCCTCCGAGTACTGTCCTGGAATGCCGGCCATCTTGGCCAGCAACAATGGTCGGAAGTCAAGTCATGGCTCTCCACTGAGGCCAAACTCGTCTGCGATGTGTTAGTCCTGCAGGAGACACACTGGCAAGCCACGGCCGAATTTAGTGTTGCAGGCTGGTATTGCGTCTCGTCTGCATCGGCGGCTGATCCGAAAGCCTCTAGGCGAAAGCAACGCGGGGGCAAGGCCCACAAACAGCCACCTGCAGAGGCAATGCCTACTGACGATAAGCCGACCCCACCCCGCAAGGAGCCCTCAACAACTCGCGCGGACGGGGTCATGGTCTTCCTGTCCCCACACATCTTGCCCAAGAGTGTGCGCTGGCAGGAACATGTCATAGGCAGAGCCCTGGAAGTCAGGTTTGACTGGCATGGGGCCCGCATGACGCTAGTTGCTGTCTACCAACACGTTTGGTCCCCGGCCAAGCAGGTGCAGACTAACCGTCAGGACAGAGCGCACGTCCTGAAGGCTCTCGGCCGATGCGTGCAGCGAGTGCCGCACAGAGACACGCTCATCCTGGCAGGAGACTTCAATAGCTCCTTACAAAAGCAGCCTAGGCTGGTAGGTCCCGGGACCATCTGCCCACAAGAACCGAGGCCCGACGAGCCAGAGCTAACCAACTTTCTACTCAATCATCGCTTAGTTGCTCTCAACACGTGGAGGCCTCAGCCGACACATACATTTTGGCAAGGGGAAACGCGCACTCAGATTGACTTTGTGCTCACGAGGGAGGTCTCTGCTGGTGGCTATGCCAAAGCCTCTACGCCGCTGGCGGATTTCCCGCTGGGCAGCTGGAAAAAAGGCGGGCACTTGCCCATAAGTGCCACTGTCAAGCCAGTTCGGCACTGGAACCTGCCTGCTCCTCAGCTACAGCAACATCACTACGACTCTGCTGCCCTGCAAGCAGCTGTCAGGGACAACACGTTGCCAGCCCAGCAAATGCTCGAGTGGGTCAAAGCACGCCTCACCCCGGACATGCAGCCGGCGTCTTGGGATCGTCTCCTTGGCGAAGCGACATCTAGGTTTTTCCCTAAGACCCCGGTGGCAATGCCAGATAGTCCGGAAACGCGCATAGCCAGACGCATGTGGCGCTCTGCACGTGGGAGCAATGCTCACCCCAGGGCAGAGTCATCGCCGGATGATGAGGCCCGACAAACCCTGTGTGAGCAGCATAAACAAGCGGTTAAGCAGGCTCGAAAATGCCAAACAAAGCGGTTTCTTGCTGAGGTGGATCAGGCTCTGAGCCAGGGCGACCAGCACCTTGCATATCAGACTCTCAAGCATCTCCGTCCGTGGAAACCGGCCTTGAAAGCACAGCTCAAGGACGAGCAGGGCTTCCTGCTCAGTCCCGCGAACGAACTGGATGAACTGGGGCAGTATGCAGCCAAGGTCTTCGCGGCGCATCCACAGCTTCCGTCAGACTCGGGACTGTTGCCCCGCTTGCCACAGACCAAGTTAGCGAAGCACATTGCCTCGATCAAACCTGGCAAGGCAGTTCCAAAAGGAGCGGCACCGGCCGCAGCCTGGAAACTTTGCGCTCAGCCGGTCTCAGAAGCACTTTCACAGTACTGTTCCAGTCTGGCGCAGGACCAGTCCCTGGACGACGATCTGACTCGCGCGGATCTTTGCCTCATACCAAAACCGGGTAAACCGGCAGACAAGCCTTCCCAACTAAGGCCACTGGGCATCCTTCGCCCGGATGCTAAGGGACTGGCGGGCACGGCCAAGGAGCTCCTGGAGCCTCTCACAGTGCCGTACATGAAGCCACTGCCCCAGTTTGCGTACCTCCCTGGGAGAGGTCTCTCTGACGCGCAGAGTAGAGTGGTTCAGCACTTGAGGGAAGCCAGGCAACTCTGTCGCAATGCGAATCTCACCCGAGCAGATCAACAGCGGGGACAATGTCCTGTGGGTCTAGTCGGCGGCATCACTTTCGCTCTT